CCCAGAATTCCCCAGCCAGCCATGCTGGCTGGGGAATTCTGGGAGTAGAAGTCCACTCATCCCGGTTGAGAACCATGGATCCAGGCTGAGTCCTAAATCCACCCTTTTCCTTTGGCCTACAGACTTCAAGATAAGCCTCTGAACACGAGAGATGGGGTTGAAGAACCCTGTTTTAATAGACCTCTGGTGATCTCTGAAACCTTGAACTGGAATTAGTCTCAACTCCCAGGTTCCAGAGTAGTGGGGTTCATGAATGGACGTGACACCAAAACCTTTTTGCTGGTTTGTTTGTGGTCCATTTTCACTCTGGGAGCACAAGGAGGCACCTCAAAGGCTTTTTCCTAGCTGGATCCTCAAGGATGTTGGACTGAGAAGAAGCAACGGGGTCTCGCCCATTGAATATCTACGATTACAGGAGGATTTGAGCCTGTCTCTCTCTACTCCAGATCCAACATCTGAACACGATGCTGCTGTTTTATATATGGAAGGAGGGTGATGATCACAGTATTTGGATTGACTGATTCAGAGAGAGAGAGAATAAAATAAGTGAGTCCAGGGCAGGATTTTACAGCTAGCAACTCTTGGAGGCCCTTGATCCCTCCTCTAAATACTTGATGGCAAGGATGTTCCATGGAAACTGAAAGGGATTTGCTGCCAGGGAGATATGTCTGTGTGTGTGTGTTTGTGTGTGTGGACTGCCTTGCCCATAGGACAAAGTTGTAACGGGGAAGATCAAGGAAATTCCCACAGTGGAGGAATGGATGGTGAAAATGTCAGAATTTGCTGAGATGGCAAAGCGGACCTGTTTGGTCAGAGAAAAAAAGACAAAAACTTTCCTGAAAGACTGGAGACCTTATATGGACCTTTTGCTGGAAGAAGAAAAAAAAATGAAATGACGATTTATGGATTTGAAGATTAAGAAAGATGTGGATTAAGTGAGGGGCTGGAGGGACTTGTATAACATCTACGAGGGAGAAAGGGTGACAAGATTGTAATCATCTGTTGAAGAAAAGGTCCAAAGTCATTGTGTTTCACAACTTTTGTGTCTTTCTTATTTTCTTTTCTTGCACTTCTTTTTTTTTCTTTTTCCTTAGATTTGTCTTTTACTGTATGTAAAATTCTCAATATAAATAAATAAATAAAAGGACAAAATTGTAAGGGGAACAATTTTGGGAACCTGAGTCTCCCCCAACCCCACATTCCCACTTTCAGAGCATGATGTGCCTGAGATCCTCACCGTAGAGGTTGTGGGTTGTTTTGATCCTTGCTTCTTCTTCCCGCCCTTCTCCTTTCCCTTCTTGGCATCAGCAATGTGGTGAGTCATGCTTTGAACCCCACCCTGCAGAAGGAGGTCAGTCAGTTCCTTCAACAGAGCGAGCTGCAAGTTAAAAACAAAAAAATAAAAAATGGGGTTGATGCTGTTCGACCAAGGAAAGCCCAAGGAACCAGAGCCCCAACCAGAACAAGAGGGCCTGTATTATAAAAGGATGAGTATTTTCAGAATTCAGCCATCTCCAGCCTGACTCTTCTGGATTTGCTGGGACTACAATTCTCAGAATTCTTAGGCAAAATACTAGCCAGGAATGCTGGAAGCTGTAGTCCCGAGCCTTCTGAAAGATACCGGGTTAAGGAAACCTATTGTCTCTCCTTGCAAAACTTCAGATACCAAGGTAGGGTGAGGAGAGAAGATTGAGGATGACACAGGTGATGGTCAAGTGCAGCCTGTTTCCCACTCACATGCTGAAAATTTGCAAAAAAAAAAGTTATATAGAACTTGATTTATAAGATCTAATGGTGGTTCTCCTCAGCACTCTGTGAATCTCTACCCTTAATTTGGGTTAAGTTAATGTGACTGATTGATTGATCGATTATGTGCCACCAAGTCGTTGTCAACTCTTAATGACCACATCGATGATCTGTCCCTAACTCGGTCTTTCAGGTCTTCCAACAGTGCCGAGTGAATGTACAAAATCCAAATTATACAACCACCTACTGAAATTCTTTCCAGCCACAGGATCATACAGTTGGTAGGATCCAGTTCCCTGTTCTGTACAGGAATCCTAATTCAACACTTTCCTGGCACATGCCAGATTAAACTCTGGATAATTTGGTGACAGAGGAATCAGCCTCTTTGTATCATAGCTAATACTGAGCCGAACTATCAAACAATCTTTACAGTTTGCAGTGCGATTTCCTATACACACCCTTTTTTTGAATGGCAAAATGCTGGCTGGCATCCAAAACTCCATAACCCATTAGCCCTGTTCTCAAAAGCATGTTAAACTGGTTCCTTAAAATACCTGTTTGCCCCCACAAATACCCCAAGATTTTCCAAAGCATGAGACATCATGTTACCTCCAGATTAAGTTTTGCCTGAGTGTATTTAAGGCCTCTTGCAGTTGAGTTGGACTCTTGGTGACTACATGGGTAATTCCATGTGCTTCACCAATAACAGCAAATAAGTTGTTTGCCGTCTAATGTCATTTATAGGCAGGATGGTCACATACCTTAATACCATAAGCTTCCAAAAGTCTTTCCAGGTCCTATATAAATATCAAGAATGCAAAGAAATATGTGTTCACTGAATTCCATGCACAGACAACATAGACATAATGGGTTACATCAAGGTTCCTCAACCTTGGCAACTTTAAGACGGGTGGACTTCAGCAAGGCTGGCTGGGGAATTCTGGGAGTTGAAGTCCACCCGTCTTAAAGTTGCCAATGTTGAGGAACCCTGGGTTAGATTACAAAATGTTTAGCTGAGATGCTTGCTTACACAAAGGGTCCCCTGAGCACCAGAAACATTTTTTGAGCAATGCGTCCTCCCTTGAAGACTTCAGCTGTTGGATCTCCCATGTGGTGCTACAGCATTCAGTCATCCAAAGGAAACCAAATTCACACACGCGTGCAAACCCACAGACACACCTGTACTCTAGCCACTGGGCCCCTCCAATCAAGCTCCATCAGGAGGCATGCAAACCATTGGGGACACGATGAGGGATTCATTCACAAGATACCTCTCCAAAATTGAAATATAAAGTTGAGATAAATGGAGAAAAGATCTGTAAATCACATGTCTCTTGGACAATGTTGGCCTTTTATATTTTTCCACCCAATGCAGAAAGTAAACATGACGCACATGAATGGATGCTGATATCTTTCTAACTCAGTGTTTCTCAACCTTGGCCATTTTAAGATGTATGGATTTCAACTCCCAGAATTCCCCAGCCAGCCATGCTTTAAGATGGGTAGAGTTCCATTCCCAGAATTCCCCGCACATCTTAAAGCCACCAAGGTTGAGAAACACTAGTCAAGTCCATTAGCTCTTCTCAAGAGCCGCTAGGGAACCGTGCAATTAATCTATAATCATTTTGACCCCTGCAAAATCAGATAAAATAAAATATTTTCCATCCAACTGAACTGGTTTCTCATCTGGTCTTCTGAGTTGCAGCAAAGAATATGTGACCTGTGTTTGACAGAACACAACTCCAGCTGAAAAATCCTATCGTGTTTGGAGGGCGCTGGGTTGGGGAGCCTGACTGAAGACCCCCACCCA